GAAGTACTAAAGAATCTTGAAAAGCTCAAAAAATAGAAAAATTTCAAAAGATGAATTATTGAAAGAAATAAGAAGTAAGTCACCTGTGAATGAAGCATAAGTTTTCTGGGAGTCTAAGAAACCAGAGATGAGTGCAGTCACTTAAATTAAAAACAGTGCATTGAAATCAAAGAGTTAGGCTTTGCTCCACTTAGAAATGCACAAACATCTAGAGAGATAGAGATAGGATTCTTACCTACATCAAAAATATTTTAACACTGGTATAAAGTCAAAAATCCAAGACTAAATAACAGCTGTATTTGCCAAACCTATTTTCAATGTCTGCTTAAATTATATCTTTTTAATACTAAAGGGAAACTGAGTCTCTAACATACGAGAAATAATTATGCGAGGAGCTAAATTAATAAACCTGGATTTGCAGTAGATTTGTACCTTCTGTTCTCCATATTCTGACATCAGCTACTCTGGTGCCCTGTACTCAATTCACCTGGTGGCCTGCACTGTTTCCTCACTGCAGAGCCGTGCACGCGGCTCCCAAACGTGCTTCTGATTATTGATGGGCTGTACCCGCACTCCCCTCCCCAGGGGAGAGCAAGGAAAGCTGCTTTGCCTTGCTTTCCCCAGCTACTAATTTTTACAGAACTCACGGGAGGTAATTAATTGTATTTGAGACTTCCTCTGCTCTTTTGAGTTTGGTTGACATAAGCCAAAGCGTTCAAAAACTTCCATGGGGTGAACTGACAGATGGAGAAAGAGAAAAGCAGACAGAGAGACAGCACAGTCTAATCTATCCGTGGTATTTAAGTAAAGAGAATACAAACAAGGCGGTAATATTTCATCTAGAAAATTAATATATTCATAAAAGTACATTTAGCATCTTTAAATAAAACATATTCATAAGAGCCAAGCTCTTGCAATCTATTTAGGATTCTGTCAAAGCAATGACCTTGGTTTAAGTACCTATCAGATTTTAAAAAAATAAAACCCAACCAGCTTCATGCTGATGCAAAAACTCTTTAAAACAAAGGTTCCTATAACACTGTTTAAATTTTATCTGTTGCATGGAGGAGTAGCAGATGTTAATATGATATTCTACAATAATGAACAGCGAGATTCTGATTTACCATAACACTTAACCATCCTCTGGGGAAAAGCAAGTGGGGATCACGGGACATACAAGGAAGATATAAAGGTGACAAGAATGCATTACTGTAAAGATGAGAATATTTAATGTGTAGATGGTGATTGCCCCAACATACAATTTAATTAGGAGTTCTAACACATTTATAGGACCTCCTCCTCATTGGGAATTCTCCCACAGTACCAAGCTCATAAAGCTTACCAGGTATATTTCCACTCAGGTTCCTGAATTATAGAGCCATGACTTTTTTATATGCATCTTTAATTATCATTCCAATCATTTTATCTGTTCTTAATCAAGGATAAGCAATCATCATTAATGTCTTTTTTAAAGAATATGGTAATTTGCTTCCTTTCAGCCCTCCAGAGCAGTGGCAGCTTCTAATGAAACATCTAATATTTTTGTTAGTATCCCAATCATTGCATTTTTTAGTTCCTTTGGTATTTTTGAAGTAAATTATTAAGTTCTGTTGAAATACTGCAATTTAAGACTGATCTAACTTTAAAATTAGCTTTGTTTTGAGCAACGTGTTGGACAAGATGACCTCCAGAGGTACCCGACAACTTAAATTATTGACTGAAATTAATAACAAAACTTGCAAGCCAGAGTAGGTTGAAAATGAAAGCATATTAAAATATGTCTTCTACAATTTTTAAGAGGGGCTTTTTCATATTTTTTTTAATATTTGATTACTGTGTGCATTGTTCCTTTGTATTATGATTGCATTTTGTCGTTTTGTTGTAATTTTTTATTTTTGGTATCATCATCTTCGTCACTCTAATTCAGTTCTGCAAGACTCTGTGTTTACAAATATGAAATACAGTGCAACAGTTTTTTACTTTTTTATATACAGCATGTAGGAGTAGAAATTTCTGTATTTAGAGATACATCAGCTCAGTTTTAAACATATCTAAAGAAATCATGCCATTCTTCATGGTCATCTCTTCAGAGTTAGTCCCAAAGTGTCCTATACATGACTGCCTTATAGGCTAGGAGGACTTTATGTATTAGCTGTATTGAATTTTAGTGAATATTTTTAGTGTTTTTCCTCTGTCCTGGTAAGGCAGGCTCTTGTCTCTTAAGTAGGCATCAGTCTAGGAAAATATAAATGTTTTCACAACCTATTTATGAAATCACTTAAGGAGAAGATGGTTCCTGGGAGAAAGGGAAAACTTAAACATTACTAATGATTTATCAAGAAAGGGAATTAAAACCTCTTATTTCTCTAATGAATAACAAGGATTCCCAACAACATTTCAGACCCTCTCTTAATCACGTGTCCATAAGGAAAATCATTAAGCTTAAGAGAAAACAGGGGAAAAAAACCTACTTGAAAACATTGCTGTGCCATCATGCAGATTTTCTATTCAGTCCATTACACAAAATATTTCAATGCAGTTCATTTTCTCTGATGTACAAATGCCAAAACCAATAAACATTCTCCCACATTTTGAAAGCAGTCACTGATGTTACACAGTAGTAGCCAGTCACATTTCTTGAAAAGTTTAGAATGATTTACAGTCCAGCAGAACCTGAAAACCTAAAAAGTCACCTCAGGCTTTAATTTGAAGAAATACATACAACTAAAAGCTGTCTAGTGAACAAGTATCTAAGACTAACAACGTTTTATCAGTAAATATTCATGTCACCGTTGGCAAAAAAAAGGGAAGCATTTTGTAATGCAAATAATTTAGCTGTTAAGCAAACCACAGATTAATGTAATGCAACAATAGTAAAGCTTCATTTACCTGTTTTGAAAGAACTAACGTCTGACAAGCAGTTTTACAGATCAAACATTCATCTTTTTTGCCTGTAAGGTAAAGACACATTTAAAATATACATCAAACTGAGTAGATACTGAATACCTTGTAAATAGAACTCTATGCCTAAACCTTTGTGTGGACCTTGTGGAAGAAATCTGCAGGTTATACGAGAAATGTGAATAAACATGAATAAAGAATTTGATTCTTTAATAACCATTACACAGAGTTGCACAGGGAATATGTGTGTGAATGTCATCGGGTCTTACTCCCACAAATAAGCATTCATGTAAATGATTTTATGAATATCATTAGTGTCACAGAATGCAGGTGACTTTTAGTCCCGTTGATTTAAATAGGACTACTTGCCTGGTTTAATTAAATGTATGCTTAAGTGCACTAATGACTTACAGTCAACCAGATATATGGCTTTTCAGACAGGGGCCCAGTATGGTTCTCTCAATAAAATATATAAGACCTTAACATCAAAGAATTAATAATTTTACCTTGTGAATTCTTCCAGTGAGAAAGTAATTTTAAAAACTTTATCATTTTTAAACTGTCTCTTTGATTATCTGCAAACATACTAGAAAATATTTATAGCAAATGCATATTATTACAATGTTTATCATTGGTAATTTTACTAGCTACTTCCTTTCTGAGGATTCTGTGGATCAATGTTTATAAACATCGTTTAAAAGTAAATACATTTTAAACCTGGTATTATGATTATTATTGAATTCCCAGTAAAAAGATATATAATCTCTCAGGCATTTTTCTGCCAAACAATATTAAGAGCAGAAAGGAAAGACATTCAGCCTCTAAATCCAGCAAACTGGATTTAGAGGCTGCATTTTATGATCCTCCTCCTTAAAAGCAATCCTGTGAATGCATCTAGTCAAAAGTTTTTAATTCTGAAATACAGATTCATAATTTCTTCCGTGTGCCCTTAAAAAAAAAAATCACAGGACATTTAGCATGATCTCAAAGGGAAAAACACTGGTATTTTTCTGCTGCTCTTTTCTTTTGAAAAACAACTTCATTATTCCTCTTATCTTTATCTGAGTACATCAAGTTCTGTTGAAATACTGCAATTTAAGACTGATCTAACTTTAAAATTAGCTTTGTTTTGAGCAAGGTGTTGGACAAGATGACATCCAGAGGTCCTTGACAACATATTCTTTGAAATTAATAACAAAACTTGCAGCCAGAGTAGGTTGATAACGAATATCACAGAATATGACTCTGGAATTGTACATGACACGAGAGCTTCAAAACATCACCTCCAACCCTCCCTGACGCTGCTGAAAAATTTCCAGGAACAATACTGACCTTTAAAACATCTTAAGACTACTTACAAAGCCTGCCCTAAACAAATCCTACACTGTGTAAATTGCCCATGCTCGATGAAAAAGCAAGTCCTTTTCCAAATCAGCCAGAAGAGAATGCCTTTGTTTGTTTGTTTAACAACCTTATGAAGGTTGTTAAAACTATCCAGGATAGTTTTATTAAGGCCTCCAGTTTCCCGTGCCCAAGGCCTGCTCTCAAAGCCAGACTCACCTGGAGGTGGACACTGGCGGGCTTCAGTATTTAAAGAAAACCAATAGCAAGGATTGAAAAGGTTTATCAACAACATTCTACAGACACGTAGGAATGCTCAGGCCCTTCTTTTTTTTTTCCACAACGAGTCAGAAATACGAAGGATAAGGTGAGCGGGTGTGCACGCCAGCACTGGCCGCTCCAGCAGCCATTACCTTTCTGGAGGCAAATCTCACAGAAAACGTGGCCGCAGCTGGTGAGGCAGAACCGCGGCGTGGGCTTGCGGGGCTCACAGGAGCAGGCGTTGCAGAACACCGGGAGGGCCATGGGCCGGAGGGGCAGGAGGGCCCGGCAGCGAGCCGGGGGCCGGGGCAGAGGAGGTCCCTCCTCAGGGCGAGCGCCACGGGCGCCGCTCCGCCATTGCCCGCCCGCCTCAGGCGGCCCCGGGTGAGGGGGAACCGCCCGACCCGCCGCGGGGCCTGAGGGGCGCCAGAGTTCGACCCTCACAAACCCCTCCCCAAAAAAGTTGTATTTTCTGGCCTCTCGTTACCAAACTGGAGCGGTGCCCACGCAGAGGATCCTCTGCGAGATTCCCCCTCCTTTCCCCAAAGATTACTAAAAGCGGTAATCTTACCCTAAAGTCTCAGAATTTTTAATATAGAGAAATTTAAAATCTTAGGAAACTCCTCTTTTTTTTTTTTTCAGATTTCTGTTTTAGATTTAGGTCCCTAAGTGGGACCTAACTAGGAGAAACAGAGCAGCTACTCCTGCCACCATGAACTCACAGGAATGGCCCAGCTGGCAGCAGGTGAACACTTCTCACAAATCAGTCCCTCCATCTCTGATATCTCAGCCTGGATGCTCAAGGCACATCTAAAAAGTTCCCTTATAAACATGAGTCTGGGAACAAAAAAATTCATAAATATGGAAAATCAAGGACTCCAGATTAGTTTTATGACATATTATAAATTCTCTTCTCCCCATTAGCCTTTCCATCTTTTATCTTCCTTCCTTCCCCACCACCCAGCTCCTGCTTTCCTCCTAGTAACTCTTTTAGCATCTCACCTTCCCCTGCTCTCAACCCCCTGTGGGTATTCAATCATCCCAATCCTGACTTCAATTTAAAATGCTGCCTAAGTCACTGAGTACTTCTAGATTTAGCTTTACATCGCGGGGGGGGGGGGGGCGGTGATACAAGATGGGATTCAAGGGGTAAAAATATAAGGGGAATACAGAGGTTGTGACATAGAGAAACGAGAGTTAGGATCTGAGTAGAAGATGAGAGAAGCTAGAGAGTTATATACAAACAATTTTCTCACAGGTGCGGGGTTTCTTCGGCTGTTCAATGTTACGTGGTGCGCAGTTTTTGAATCTGAGCTTGACCCTCATAGCCTTAAAAGAAGTTGTTTTTCTCACCTCTCACTACCAAAGTGGAGCAGTGCCCATGCAGAGGGTCCTCTGAGAGATTCTCCCTCCCTTTCCCAAACGTGGGGAAGTGACCCGGGATCTCAGTGCTCCAGGCAAGGGCTGCAGCAGGAGCCCCATCCTCCTCATTCCTCCTGGGCCAGCAGGTGTGTGGAAAAAGGTTGTGGATTCCACTCCCTTAAATGCAGGAATCCAGGAAGGTTGTTAATTTGCTGTCACAGCTTTGCTATGGCATCTTTCAATGAGGAAAAAGAGCAAAACAAGGAGTTTTGATTTTCATTTCTTAGACAAAAAAAAAACAAAACCCAAACCCATAGTTTGCTAGTTTCCCTTGATGAAATTTTTAGGAAAAAATTCCCTTACAGACCTAGTTGCAGTGCAGGCTGTAGCTCTGGGTATGGCAGAGCTACAAACTGCAGAGGAGGAACCTCTGTCTTTTAACTTCACGAAGGCTAGTGCCCCCAAAGTGCTTCCCAAAAGAGTTGCAATTCAGCTTCTGCTTTATAGAGTTAATTAGAAATCTTGAAGGAGACTGAAAACATTTCATCAAAGCAAAGATATTTAATGACTATTAATATTATTATTATTATAGATAAAGAATTAAGCACTCTCAAGCTGTATCCAAGGCTCTGAGTCTCAGTGCTAGTTTGAGTATAGACCTAATTAATAGAGAGAAATACAATCAGCCCCTTTATGAATTCTGATGTAGTGGCTGTCTTGGTTTAAAAGCCTAAGTGTATTGTGAGATAAGTTTGGCATTGGGATGTGGTTAGAAGCCTTACACTAAATATCAGCTAAAGTCTGAAACACAAGCTTGTAGCAACACTTTAATAAACTTTTTTCTTGGACTTCATATGGTTGTAACACATATTTCCTTCTTTCCCACCACCAAAGATACTTTTAAAAGGCAGGTTGTGAATGACTGATCTGTGAAAGTAAAGTTAATAAAACTTATTTACTGGTTATTCCAGGTGACAACTCTAAAGTCTCAGAATTTTTTAATGTACGACACACCTCAATGAGTAGCTTTACAAGATTTTATTGATTGATTTGGTCTGTAGAACGTTGCTTTTTGTCTCTACTTTGTATCAATTTTATGGATTCTCACAGCTGTATTTTCATTACTGTACTGGAAATGTAAGTGAACTCGTAGGGCAGTGTCATTTCCTCGCTAATGAAAACAACAAGTGAGAAGATAGAAAAAAGAAAGAAAGCAGTGCCTTTAAAACAGTAATTGTTTACAGATATTCCAGCTTTCACTACCTTTTAGATAAGCAAAGGGTCTGGAAAGAGAAGTAGGAAACCAAAACCATAATATTCTGCTATCACAGTGCTCTAGAAACTTCTTCGAGTTTCATGGTTTTATATGTAACCACCTCCAACTCCTCCTTACACTACTGCTGCTTTGTCAAGCTGATTATCTGGATTTTTAACCAGAGCTTTTGACTTCTCATTGTATGATACTGTAGTTACACTGCTAGTTGTACATAAACTAGGTGAATTAAGTCATAAAGATGTATGCAACCAATCTGCAATAAGTGAAATGGAAAATTAAGTCAAAAAACTGGTAAGTTCCTTAGGCTGTCATATTACAGTTGCTGAATAATTAAAGTAATAAAAATTCTCAACACAGAAACAGACTGAAGAATTTTCTGCAGGAATGAATTAGAGCAAAATGTGTAGGCATTGTTTACAAAAAAACCCTGTAATTTGGTTTATTTTGGCATACTTCATAAAGACTATAATTTACATGAGCAACTGTGGGAGATGTCTGATCACAGTTCTATAGCCTAATCTGGAAGTGAAAAGTAAGTACAACTCCAAATTGCTTGTCTGGGTCTCTCTCTTGCATGATAATTGCTGCTGCCACTGATCAGTTCAAACTTTGAATATTTTGAAAGAAGGCAGTCACAATTACATTTAGGTGTTACCCATATATAGGTTGAGTTCAAGACACTCTCACCAAATTAATCACCACAGGGAATATGGGTTATTTCTCTGCCTACTGTCTGAATCATGGTCAGTCTGAAGTGCTGAACTCTTTGTGGTAGTACCAAGTAACATCACTAAGCAAGTAGAGAAATTTTAAATCCTAGGAAACTTTTTTTTTTAGATTTCTATTTTAGATGTAATAATCCTGAGCTGAACTTAAATGCTGCCTTAGTCACTGAATCTTTCTTCTAGATTTAGCTTTACATCTCTATAGGGGGAAAAAACCTGATAAAAAATTGGATTAAAGGAATAAAATGTAAGGGGGTATAAAAGGTTGTGACACAGATGGAGAAACCAGAGTTAGAATCAGAGTAGAAGATGAGAGAAGCTCGAGAGTTCTATGCAACCAATTTTCTTTTAGTTGCAAGGTTTCTTATGATGTTCAGTGTTACATGATGTGCAATTTCTGAATCTGTGCATTTACTTTATAGAATTTAAACAAGCTTCTTAGCTATAAAGAAATCTCTGAGAGATTTGATTTGCCAGATTCCAACGGAGACGAGGATCAGTGTTTGTAGTATAGCCCACCACAAAATGTTGCTGTTGGTTTCTTCACTTGTCTTTCGAAATTTTTCTTCACGTTCCTGAAGAATAAAGGAAAAGCATAGTTATTACCTTTTGGCATCTACGTGTTTCATGCTGCTATCCCAGTAACTAGACAGGCATCCTCTTCTGCATAGTGGTGAACAAACACTTTTTTTCATGTTGATAAAAATAGAAGTTTGTATTTATCCATATGGTGGGTATCTTTACAAATCAAAACTGAGAAGCAGACACACTGTATCCTCAAGCAGAAAGGCAAACAGAACTTCCTTTATTCACAGAAAATATATTGTGCTAAATATGTTCCATTAGTACAGGCTTTAACCTTTTTAGGTTTACAGTCACATATTGCTGTCAAGAACCCTTTTGCAGCCAAATTTCTATTTTTAGGTAACTAGTTGATATATTTCACACACAGTCTGACTGCCTGTGTACAAATGGAAAAGTGAAGAGAAGGGGTATACGCTTGTTTGAAGGAGGGCTTTATTTCTAACTGCATGGAGATTTATAAATATACACTCAGTCATTTCCTTCCCCACTCCAATAAAGTTTATGCACATAGACCAACATGGAAACAACAGCTGGAGACATCACCCACAGCGGTACCTGCCACCTGCTCAGCTGCTGGGGCTGACTCTGGCCAAGAACACTCTTATTTGGAAAACTCTGCTTTAAAATAACACCTGCTCCTGTAAAATAACACCTGTTGCTATAAGCGTGAGTTCTCAGTCATTAATTAGTTTTTAGGTTGCTGCTTAAAAATATTTTGCAAGGTAATAGAGTCAATTTTGGTTAAATACCAATAGATTTTTATGTGTTAGTTAAAAATAACACTGCAATTGAATAATAAACCTCATAATACTTAATAAATCAATAAGCCTATGTACAGTATTTTTTAATGTTTCCATTAGGGAACATACGTACTCTTTCATAGTCTTGTTCTTTGGATACATGGTGAATTTGCTCAATTAGATGTTCTAGTCTGATATTAACTTCATCCACTGTTTCTTTGGCTTGAACAGCAGATTCATCAAAAAAGTGCTCTCCAACTCTAATGTCCAAATGGATACGCTGAAAACAGAAAATATATGTTCATTTCTGTGTCTTCTGCTTTTTCAAAATTCAAAATTCAAAATTCAAAATTCCTAAATTCAAATTAAAAATGGATAATTTCCCTTTAAGCTCATTACAGGAAAATAGTTTTAATTTCTTATAAACATCCTTCCTAAAATTAGAATCAGGTGGTAAATTTAAAGTGCTTCTTAATTTTATTTTTAAATTAGTTATACATATTTACAAACTTCACTAATCTTAGGGCATTATTTTATGCTAGTATTGATTCAACCACCATGAAAATGTTTTCTTTGTCCAAAATAGTTAAAAAAATAAAAGACCATAAGGCACGGTCATTATATTTCACATTCCATTCTAATATTGCAGGAATCACATTCTTCAATAGTGCTGCAGGAAGTTTTTTGTAGATGCCTTTCTGAGTTTCCTCATGTAACTGTTGGGACTGTAAGACTGGAAGGAGACGAGCTGAATCACTATTTGCAGTTTAACATGGGTATCCATAGGGTATCTTTTTCTTTCTCCACAGTATTTATCCAGTATGAACTATCTCCCAATATCCTGTAAGCTCTTGTATTATCTATTGCAAAAATGCCTGAACCCAGCTCAGCAACAGAACTATAGAAAGAGGAGCGAAGAACAGAAGTTGCAATATTATGCAACTTATTTTGTCGTGAATTAAAAATTTTGCTAAAACTAACAGGAGGAATTTCTCCTAGAAGCCGATTTGTGCCTAAGAGAAAATAAAAAGGTTTTAGCCAAGCAAATAATCTGCCAAAACCTAGAACTTGATATTACCATGGTAGAAGTTGGATCTACTCAGACATCAACCACAAATGAAGAGCAGATCTTTCAGCTGTCTTGGAGTTAGCTAACTGTATAACTATCGGTCTCACAACCTTATCATCCATTAATTTATTTATTTTGGTTTGAAGGAGTTCAGATAACCATCTGGTTCTTACAGAAGACCACTGAAAAATTTAACTTAGCTAAAGAATGTTTTTCTTTTGTGACCTTTGTTCCTGCAAGTATGATTATAAGAGCAGTATTTCCCTTTTTAATTTCTGTGTTCTCAAGCTAAACAAACCACCTCATTTAATATTTGTGATATTAATGTTCTCCTTCCCCACATCTGTTCACTTCTTTTAAATAGGATGACCAGAACTCTACAATGCATGTATCATGTAAAATCATATTAATACAGCTCCATCTATACCAGATAAAAATCACGTGCATATCCTCAGAATCACATTCATGGTGTGTAGTTAACTATGATCAACGAAAGCTTTATCACCCTTACCCTCTCTAGTTGATAAGCTCCACCAATTGTTTTTATTATTAGAACCTGAGTGCTTTTGCAATGTGTATGCTTAAATTTCCATTCATTTCTATCAATCAGTCTGTAAGAACACCTAGTTATTCCAGTATAATAATTCCACTTCTGTACTGTTAGTTCTTCTCATTTCTGTGTCATCTACATGTTCCCGAAGTCCACAGCTTGTATGAAATTTGACCTATCTCAAGACATTTACAAGATGTTTACATTTATTTAACTCTTTTGCAGTCAACTTAGTTAACAAACACACAAACACTCTAGAGAGTAATTCTCATCTGTTCAACTATCTTTTGGGCTAAGGCATATATTTTCAAAACAGAATTTATAAATTTTTTTTCTGGAATAGATTAGAGCCATGATACCACCTCTGATGGGTTTTTTCTTTTCTTCCCAAAATCTGCGTTAAGACCAGCTTTGCTGGTAGTAGACAATAACAAGAATGTTAATATATTCTTCTTTGAATATCTCTCAAAAATTGAAATGTACATTTTCATTAGGAATTCAATCTAAGTTAGTGAAGACATGGAACACCTTTATGACAAATGTTTGTGTTAGTCAATCATTCATATCAGTCTTTTTGAACCATAGTCATTCTTATTGATCAGAATCACATTCAAAGCACTTTAAAAACATTAAGTCTATCATTATTAGTCTTGCCTCTTGAAAGCAGACTTCTTAAAGAGGACAGTCTTTTTATCTCTTGATCTACATAATTCTGGTTTTGTCTTCTTTAATCACTAAGAAATGTCATATTATCTGCTAGAAGTTAGTCCAACTTCTAAACTAGTTTGTAGTCTGTGGTCTGTAAACAATTTATAGTTACAACAAAGAATATTTAAGAAATATACCTACCAGTTTACTTCCTGCAATTGCCAGAAGTCTTGTGGAGTTTGACTGGAAACAGATAACATGCTCCCCAGAGAGATAGGATGTAAAAGAAAATGTTCCTTGTGGCCCATACAGTTTTGACAATAGTACCTGCAATTTAAATTTTATATATGTTGGGTTTGTAAATTGTAAATACCAATGAAACTGTCAAGACAGTACTGTGAATTGGATGCAAAAAGGGATCAGTTAGCCTCCTGACATCATTAAATTTATCTGAATTTCAGGGTAGATTTAGAGAAAATTAAACTATTTTAGTTCACAGTGAACACTGAAATGTTATAGAATTCTGCAATGTACAAAGCCAATGCTCTCTAAAGCATACAAAGTTTGAAAACTAAGACCTCATCTAGGCACAGAAATATATTATCCATTGCTGGAAAGGTTCAGGACCTCATGGCAACACAGGCAGCTGCTCTGCATGAGGGCCACACCCAGCCTCAGGAAGATTTCAACTTTCACAGTTTTGTTTATCATCAGCCTTCCTTTCTGCTGCTCAAGTACATTCTGTACCGTTTTACTTCATCAGTGAATTTTCTTTTTTTTCTCATTAATTTAACTTGTTTCCTCAGTTGTCGCTTACTGTTCTTAATGACACACTTTCCCAAATCTGATAGTAATGCAAAAATTGACCATGCACATAATTATCAAATATCGTAATTTCTCTTTACTTTGATAGAAATCACGAGGTTCTTAAACCTGTCAGCATCAAAATACCAAACCAGCTGGTAAACTGTAGATTTACTTTTTCTCCAGAAGTGTCTTTTATTTTTAGATAGTGCTGCCTGCCAGTGCCAGAAGTCAACATATAAATCCTACGGAAACATTCATAGAGCATATTTACCTCACCAGAAGGAGTTGAGACAGTCACATACATTCCCAAACCAGGAGCAGATTCAAGAAAATGGTGTTTATGTACATCCCAGCGTTGTACTTTGTAATTCCCTGAATAAGAACATTAAATAAAACATAGCTTAACATTAAACATCTTCATTGCTTTTTCAGGAAAAATATAAAGATAAATGATTAACATTAAAACAATATATGTATTTCATGTGTTTATGATTAAAAGTGCTCAGGGGCACTTTACATTACCGTGAAATGCAATAAATTTTTACTACACCAGAAAATGTTCTAGAGTACTACAAATAATGGTTAATTAACAAGAAGTACTTTCTGATTACTCCTAAAACTCTGGCAAGATTAACCTCCAGAAGGCATGCTGAGACCCCCAAAAGCATAATGTGCTGTAGTCAAATTACATTTTTCGGATTCTTTTTCATATTTATCGCATTATTTATTAAAGAAAAAGATTATTCTGTATTATTTTTTGCTATTCCCTTGAAATCTTGTATGTACAGTCTTGTAGATTAATTTAATGTGCTTGTGGTATCCCAGGTGAAATGAAACTTTAGTACATCTTGAATTGTTTCTTTCCAGACCGGCATTAATCAAAAAAGTAACTCTCTCATTCGTATGGGGAAAACCATGTTACAAAAATTCTGTTGTGAATGAGTACATCAGTCAGAATGTATAGAAACACACATGGAAGCAGCAGTTCTGCAGCTGTAGACATTGTTTAGTCAGTAAAGCACTCTGAAAACCTGCACTTTTTTTTGAGTGATGGACACACACAATGCGTGAGGACTTTATTCCTACTCCCCGCTGAGGGGAGTAATTTTCAGTGTGCCCTTTCCTTAGCACTAATGTTTTAGTATATTCATCAGACACAGAATTTCCTGTTACATTAAAAGTTATCTTTATTATTGCATAGGTTAGATAATCATAGAGCACTGACAGGTACCTACCAAATACCAACGTGTCACTGGGAAGATCTTCAATTATACATTTCTCTTCTCTTTCTCCAGTGTGAAAATACAAAGCAAGTGAAAAAGAAATCCAGAAGTTCATAAATAATCCTGTTAATTGGCTTTTCATGGTTTTTTTTATATATCCCTGCTGTACTGCTATTGAAGAGAAATAGTTACATACAAATGCCTGTAGTCCTGTGGTTGTTCCTTGTTTGCTTCTTATCAGCGTATTTTTGAGAGAGGAAAAAACTGTGAGAAAAGGCAGCTGGTGGTTACACGTTTATAAATAACTGCAATATGTTCTGGAGAATAAGATAACATGAAAAAGACACCTTGTAAAATCTTTTTTCTTTCCCAGCATCTAGATTAAAATTTTATTTTATACACTTATAAGAGCATGAAACTGAAAGGGCCTCTCAGGTACTTGAGAGCAGTTCCCTAGATTATTATAACTAACCACACTGGCTATCTCTTTCCAAAAACTGCTCAATTTTCAACTTCAATGAAGTTATTAAGTTGTATTTCCTATTTATTCTGGGTGATTATTCCAGAGCTTCACTCCTCTTTTATTAAGAAGTCTTGTAATTTCCATCCTAAATCACTGGATAAATGTATGCATCTGCATAAAACCACAGGGACTACATAAAAGGTCTGGAAGAAATTTAAAGAAGTCAAAAGAACAGTAAAAGAATCTGAAACATTAATGAATATGATACTTCGGGAAAAAATAACAACCTTAACACTTTCAGAATAAGATTTTTTAGTATAGGAATGTCTGTTTCTTAGTCACTGCCTAATAAATTCTCTAGAGAAAGCTGTAGAGTAATTTGAACAAAGATTGAGGTTGTTATTTTTATCCTTGGTACTAATATAGACCAATGTATTTGCCTGATGACAAACTCATCTATCACTCAAATGTTCTTTGTCTTATAAACTGAGATCACTGTATCTGAAAGGTTGGCCTCAATGTCAGAGGATATGTGGTCATTTTCCAGCAGGGAGGACCCACCTGTGGGATCATTTCCAGTGGGGAGCTCATTTTTTGTTTCAGAAGCTCCTGTTGAAGGGTCTGTAGCTTGATCACAGACTGCCCAGCCCTGCCATTGTCCTCAGCAGCACCTGGCATTCACAGGGCATTGGTTCAGTGATGCCCTTGAAGTGTCTTTGATGAACCTCTCACTTGACTTCTGAGTTCTGTCATCTTGACTTCAGGGTATGGGGTGACGCTACCTCAGCTGCACACACATGGGCCATATATGTAGGACACAGTGCCACAGATAGAAAACATTCCTTCATGGAATTTTACCAACATTTATTTTGCTTGAAAAGGTGGAATTTGGATTTTATTTTATGTTTTATTTTTATATAGACCAGGCTGTTCAGAGCCCCATTCAGCCTGGCTTTGAACACTTCCAGGCATGGGGCATCCACAACTTCTCTGGGAAACCTGTTCAAGTGCCACACCATGCTCACAGTAAAGAATTTTTTTCCAAATGTGTAATCTAAACCTGCTTTCTTTCTGTTTGAACCAACTTCCCCTTTTCCTATCACTACATATCCTTGTAAAAAGTCCCTTTCCGTCTTTTTTATAGGCTTTCTTCAGGTACTGGAATGCTCAATTAGGTCACCCTGAAGTCTTCTCCAGGCTGAACAATCCCAATCCTCTCAGCCTTTCCTGGAAGAGACATTGCCATTGAATACTGAGGAAAAAAGTTATCAAGTACCTCAACCTTCTCCTTGTAACCTGTTTTCCAGCATTGTGTACTGGGTGAGTAAACCTTCTTTGATCTTTTTTTTCTAGCTAACATGCATGTAGAAGCTCTTCCTGTTATCCTTTATGTCCTTTGTCAGGTTCAGTTCCAGCTTCATCTTGGCCTTCCACGTCCCATCCCTATACAAGTGAACTTAATCTCTATACTCTTCCCAGGTTACCTGTCCTTGTTTCCACTGTCTGTGCATTTGCTTCTTTCCCTTCTGTTTGATCAGCAGGTCCCTACACAGCCATGCCGGTCTCTTGCCTTCCTTGCCTGATTTCCTGCTCCTGGGGATTGCTAGCTTTTGCACTCTATGGAAGACTTCCTTAAGGATCTGCCAACTCTATTCTGCTTGCTTGTCCCTAAGGGCAGTTTCCCAGGGGATCCTATTGACTATCTCCTTGATGAGCTGGAATTTTGCTCTCCTAAAGTTCAGGGGCCAAACTTTACTCCTTGTCTGACCCATATCCCTCAGGTCTGCAATCTCCAATGCTGCATGTTCCTTGCAGCCCGGCCTGCCTCTAGTGTTGATGTCCCAGTTAACTCACTGAAGCTGTGGCCATCTAGTCTGGTATCACATCCCCTCTGGTAGGGCTGTCTATTCCTTGGCTCAAGAAGTTATCCTCCAATCTTTCATGTGTTCACAGTTCACCATCCTTAAATTCCTTAAGGTATTGGAAAAAATTGTTCTCAGTAATGAGGTACCTTATTCCATTATAGGAATTCAGTTTGGTGTTGATTATTTCTGTAGGACCACAGTTTAATTCTGTGGTGAATTTTTGACTACTACACTTACCTTTAACCATGTCTTCCATTCTGCAATAATATCTACCAAGGCATCAAAGCTGATCCTTCCTATAAAACATTCTTGAAAAAAAATTGTCTTTACAAATCCGTTTCAAGCTTCCTCCCAAAGTGCTTTCTGAGATTAGCTTAACCCAGGAGTTAATTTGCCCATTTCCTTCCCTAAATCTCGTGTTTAGGACCACAGCATCTTGGCTGCCAGCCATCTGTAACACTGGTTGTAAAGGAAAAGGAAGGAAGAGCTTCTCTGTGCTTCTTCCCGGTCCCCAGACTTTTAAGAGAATTCCAAGACTGCAGAAAGTAAAAGCTACAAGGTCCTAGCAGTATCCACACAGGGATAGTGTACCTCACTAATCAGTTTAATAATGAGATATTTTGAGAAATATGCTCCATCATTAGAATGTGCTTCATTCACTATATCCATAGCCTTGCCAAGTAATGAATCCATGCCTGGGATTTGCAAAGGGAATACCTGGAATGATCTATGGCCAAACATTACGTAACTACAAGGGCATCCTTAAAGAATGTCATGTGTATCAAGGTCTCCTGAAGTCACAGCTTACAAAAAAATCCCATATCCAGGTAACTGGCTGGATAGAAAAGTTCTGCTTTTGAAGGAAGCTTCAGTGAATATTCATGTATGTGAACAGTCTAAAGTAGCAAAGTTATATATCACTGACTGGAGTTTCCTGAAGTGTGTTGGCTTGTTGTATATTCACTTCCCTTTCTACTCCACCACTCCCTCTCATCCTTTCTCCTTCAGGAAACTGAAGTCCTTTGGGAAACTTTTGGCTCCAGGAGTTCAAGTAAACACTGGGACTACTCCACTCTCAGTTATTTTCTTGTAGGACTGAAATCCCAGATTCAGGTCATATATACAATTGCAAATGCAGATATTCCTTTACTGAACCTGGCCCTCTATTTGCTCTGGGCACGTGAAGAAGCAAAACTCGAATGTTAAGAGAACTTCCAGGAATGTACCTCCAAGGATACCTTGTGGTTTGTGGGTTTATTTTTCCTAAGGCATGATTTAGACTTGAATCTGAGATCTGCCCAAAGCCTTTATTAAGCCTAATTTGTCACTCAGCAATCAATAAATTTGAAATTAGTTCCTGTCTTCAGAGAGTATTTAAATATATACTTCGATGTATGCATAGGTTTTCTGAGATGATGGTAAATCTGTAAAAATATAGTAGATAAGTGTAACGGAAAACACAGAATGATTAACATTACTATAAAAAGAAGAAAGAAAAATATTGATAGTTAACTAAACACAAAATAGTGTAGTTACACTATTCCCATTATAGAGTGGAAACAGGGGAACCTGGAAAAAAACCAACCAGACATGATAAAAAGAGTAAGTGAAACAGTTTTGAACAATGGGCAAGAGTGGGAGTCTGAAGAATAAGAGATGTAGAGATTCCTACAATGAGCTCTAAAAACTGTGTTTAACAGCATTTGGAGGAACAACTAATTCTAGTCTGATAAAGTTTCAAATTTATTCGGGTCTTTGCAAGATTTATCTCCTGGAAAGAAATACAGAGAACCTTTTGAATGTTTCAGCCCTATGGAGAATACAGTGTGCTCCTTTAAGGACATGAGAAATTTTCCTGTATTTGGCATATTCCTAAAAGAACCTTCTCAAATCAACTCTCCTGTTCAATATCTGCACTGTATATTTGTAAAATTGCAGTGTGCTGTAAAAGTTTTGTGAGCTGACTGCAGACTTTCTGTTGAGTAAGTATTATTCCAAAATCCTTTTCCTGGTTAGTAGCCACAACTCTTCATAAGCCATACGTTACATTAATTTTATAACAGTTATTCGAGCATTAAAGCTTGCAGTCAGGAACATTTTCTGACATGTTGTGTTTTGTTATCATTGTGTATACCTGAATGTTAGATACTATTAAAAATTGCTAAACTTTCTCTGTAAAAAGTGGAAAAAGAGCAAATAAATAGCAGCAACACATTTAAAGAAACATGGACAATATTTACTGCATATATAAAGGTAATGATATAATTTATGTTATGGTCAACAGCATTTATTTTGAGATAGTTGTCTCATGAGTGACACACACCAACAATCAGGTTTTGAATCTCAACTAACACATTTAATTCAGTTCAGAAGTTTTCTAGTAGTATCCACACTTCTATATTTTTCTAGTAATTTTGTTGGCTGAGTGTCCTCATGGCAGTTTTTCTTCTCGCTTTTGAGGAAAAAAAAAAAGAAAAAGACATTTTCATATATTCATAAGTCTCAAGACAAGTTTACTCACTTCCACTATTGTCTTAACCACGCTGCAAACACCTGGTCACTCTGACTTATGTAAGTAGTTTCTGAAGAAATGCGCGTTAAGCATATTTAGAAAGACAAGAAAAATGCCAATAAATTATAAAAACATAATTTAGATGAAAAAATTAATTTCTAGGTATAAATATCTGTAGATAATCAAATTACAGTATTTAAGAAGGCTATTAGTTTAGATGTGATTGATTTTTATTCATGTGAAGTACAATGTTTCCAAATGTCTTCTTTTCTGCCACTAGAGGGTACTCCAAGAATTTACAGTGTATTGTAGGAAGGATTTATTTGGGGGTTTTTGGTCTGTAAGTGATCGAGTACTGTTGTCATACTAAACCTTAGAAATTTAACCCCCTAAAATCTTGACATTAAATAGAAACTTTCAAAACCACTCTTATACACCTTTTCATCAAAATAGTGCAGCATATCCAAATTCTAAAGAACACTGATTGACATGTAGTTTAGATTTAAACTTATCCTACTATTAAATTATCTAAGTTATTATCTTTTCTTTATTTCAGACACAGTTTTCTGGTTCACATGGTGTCTCTTCATCCAGGTTTGGACAAGGCATTCCATTATTGGCAGGCTGAAGAAGCACAAAACGAGTTCTGATCTTGGTCCCTGTTTCTCTGCAAACGCCTCTGCAGAGACCCCAGGAAGACCATTGAGAAACCTCACAGTCCAGGGGTGTTTCTGCAATACACACAAAAAAAACATAACTTTACATGAAGCTGTACTTGAGTCAAATACACAGTTGGAAAAGCATTAAGGAATTTTGATCAAATAGCATCCTTTCTTATACAAAAATTGCATGTGATAATAATAAAATCCATATGTTGTCTCATAAATTAAAAAAAAGGTCTGGTTTCATCTCCTAAGCTCGTGGACAATGATATTATTGTTATTGCAATCTAGAGCATGTCTGAGATATATCAGTAGTGCAGCATATTGTCTATTGAATTGAAAATACAGAATTCCTTTAAAAGAAAACTATGCTTAAAATAATTGCACCCAAAAGACTGAATTAAAAAACATTTACTGTCAATTTTATAACTCATTTGCCTTTTCATAGCTTACTAAAAATGCTGGGATTAAAGCTTTTCTCTGGTTTGTTTGGATATATTTATATTTCTTAGCTATTGTTCCTATAGTTGGTCATATCGAATTCCATTTTAATTTTGTTGCAATTTTGCTTCAGAAATAAAGTCCCATTTCTTACATTAAATCATCTTACTATTGTTTGGTGTGTATACTACTCCCCCTTTTGCCAATAAACATGTTCTGTCACTGTAAGCTTTCTAATACTAAAAGGGGTTTCAGTATAACTTGCCTCAGGAAAAGAAATTAGAAACTCTAAAGTACTTTGCATAGTGTATGCTTCTGGTGAAAATATCTCTCATAAAAGCATGGCTGAGTATTCCTTAGCAGGTTACATTAAAATATTGCTTGTCACAGGAAGTTGCATCAACACTTCTTGTTACAGCATTTGCAGGTAAAATAGGTGTGCACAAAACCATCTTTAAATGCCACACTAGGTGTGTGACACCTGGTATAAATTTCTGGCATTACAGTGAACTCACCACTTCTGCTCTGTCATCACTCATTCCTGTTTCTAGAAGGAATGAGGGACACAGCTTGACCTCTGGTAATTAAATCTGTCCTTTTGATTCTGGAATATGTTTTTAAGCAGATTGATTTACTGGTTAGCATAAAGTGGGGATTTTTGATTAAAAATTAATTTTGAAATACCATACTTTAAATGCATTGTTTTAAATTAATACCCTAAAGAGGGCCAAATGTTCATTTTGAATGCTGTGGGACAGACATAACTGCAAATGAGATATGTAACAGTCACTTTGAATGTGTCTTGTTTACCAACAGAAATACATTAAACCACTGTAAATTGATAAATACCTTTATTAAAGTAAAAATCACACATCAGTTGTGTAGAGAATGAGCTTTATTTTAGTGGCTATGAGGTGTCCAGCACAGACCCATGCAATACTCAGACATTCTGGAGAAGCTCTTGGAACATGCCAACTCTACTGGGAGTGCATTGCTCCCTTGGAGCATGTATTGTGTTAACCATATATTTTTTAATTCAGGGATTTGGAAATCACCCTTAAGACTGACTTGAGTCAGTAGTTTGTGTATCTTCCTACCTGGTCAAGGTTATTAGCTACTATTTTTAAGAAAATAAAAATGAGAACCTGATTTTTGTTGTCAGGATTTATGTTTCTATCGCAAATACGTCCAAAACAATTGAATTATATCAATTTTTATTGCACGTAACTGTCAAGCCTTGTGACCCAGAAAGAGACAACAATAACAGTTCTTGGCTTCATCATCATATAAAAATTTAAGGATGAATATTTACTTTAAAGTTGCAAAGAGTTTGGGAACTCTGATTCTGATCAAGTGTCATTTGTTTCTCATAAAATTCACTGACCTACACTGATACAAAGGCTTGAGTAGCTCTTACTGTGGATGCAACCCAGTCCTTTGAACCACAGCTCAAATATGCAATCCCTCCCTTATTCTTTCAGGAATTCTCTTTTATGTCAACTGGCTTGTTTTGTTTCCCATGTGTGAGTCTGGAAACTATTCCTATGCAGATAGGAGAATATTCTGCCTGATCACCTGTTTCATCCACATCACCTGCCAGATTTCCACGTATTTCTGAGTGAATGAAAATAACAGAATTGAGAACATCAATGAACTAATCACTTACCTGAGACAGAGTCTATTATTTCATTGCTTTTGGCTGGAAGATTAATATAAGGTGCAGAAAGACCCAGCTGGCTTTTCTTTAATTTCACCATTGTTACTTGAGCAATAGGTGGCAAAATTTTGAGTTTTGGATAATAAAATGAGTTTGCTGGGTGACTTGGAGAGGAGCAAGTGATCTGGAAAATTAAAAGGGGAATATTAACCAAATGACATCATATTAGTAGGAAGATAACTGTAAAATCATGTTTATACATCATGCTAATACTTTTTGGCAAGTTAACTGAGTAGAACCAGTTTCTGTGCACCTCAGTTCTCATAACTGTGCTGGTAGTCCCAGAATTTTTATGCAGAATGCTTTGAGACAGGGAACAGTGCATTTCATCCACTTTGGGTAGCAGACTGTGCTGGGAGGTACTGAAAACACAGTAATGTATGGAAGGTTTGATGGAAAAAACTGGCTGAGTATTAAATAATAATATTAGGTATGCTGTCATATGGATATAGGAGGCCAAATGCATTGTTTTCCAGATTCTCTGTACCTTTTCTCATTACTCATTAGGATAGTATTTGTCTCGAGCAAAACTGACCTTTAAGAAGGGATTAACTGAATACTTATAGAATTCAAAACATTTTAATCAAAATCCTCTGTTCCCCTCCATTTTTAAATGGCAAAAGCAAAGTATGAGGCATATAGAGGATCAAATGAGCAAAAGACATTGGGGTCATTGCAATAGCAGTGAAGTTCTTTGCTTTCCTTTAGGTCCTTTCCCTCTGATGCAAGTTTCAGGTTTCAGCAGTGCTTTCAACTAAACTCCTCCTCACATCAGTATTCACTACTAAAAATTTTCCTGTTTAGATACGTATTTCGTAATGTCAGGACTCTTGCAAGTATTTTTTATTTTCCTGGTGCTTTAAGGATTGTTAAGTGTCATCTAAAACCTGACAGTTTTTCTATAAAATAATTAAAATGTAGAGACAAGTTTTCGTGAACCATCTGCATCTACCTAATAAATTTCAAAGACACAGAAAATAAACAAAACCGGTGAGTTTATCAGCTGTGCAATAAATCCATGTGTAGAGAGCGTCAGCAATCCCAAATACTAAAATCAGTTTCACAGTTATAGAATAGTTATCTTTTAAAGGGAAATCTCAAAACATATCAGTATGGAGTGCTAAACTATGAACATATACCTACCTCTTGAACTGTCTCCTGTGGAATAGTGGCAAAGTTTGGGGAGGAAAATGTGAAACCACTATCAGTTCCAGCATCATATGGATATAGATCTACTGACACTTCATCCATCCAGCGGTCTCCTTCACAGAGATTTAGGCTGTCAATACCCACAAACCAGTCAGGGCTTGGAACAATTCGTACAACAAATGAAACCTAATGAAACAAAATTATCCATCAGGATTGCATCACTCTTTTTGGAATGCTTCGGTCCTGCTTACGGTGATTTTAACTCAAAAATTTTGGAATAATTTCATTATGCTCTTCTACTTTATAGAAACTGTACAGTGCTCCCTGCAATGTGACATGCTTTTTCATAACTCTTTGCATTATATTGTTCCTACGAGTGAGAAGTCAAATATTTAATTTTGGGTGCTGGTGACATAAAATAAACTTTTGAAATTAATATGTATGTTTACTTACTAAGGGATGTCTCGGATGCACTTCTAATTCAGTAGAGGTTTGTCCTGTACCACTGGTAATTGCAGGAGCAGAGAAGATTCCATGTACGCTCTGAATTTTCTCTCCAGCTTCTTCTATTTCTTTCATTAATGCCCATGCTTCACCCTTTTCAGCAAAATCACGTACACCATTGCTGGCATATTCATTTTTTTTCCACATGCTGTAGTCAGGACTATGAGTAACACCTATTTGAGTGAATACATGGCATGACATAAAAGTCTGATTTACAATGTCCCTATTTCTTCATTTTCTCTGGTTTATTTCTGAGGTTAAAAAAAAATGTGTATAAAATTGAGTGAACACTGAAACATTTGGCTTATCACTGTTTGTTTCAGCTGTGGCCAATTGAAAACAGAAGTCAATTGAAAACAGTTGCAGATTTTAGGAAAATATTGTGGATACTTCATTTTATGAATTTCATTCTTAATAACTTCGGCAATTTTTTCCTTTTCCATTAGTTATCTTAAATTCGACTATTAAGAAGAAAAAAAACACCACAGAGGTCAAGAGACTTATCTGCTGTTAAAACTGTGCATACTTGACTTACCTAGCAAGGATGACCACTGTGCTGGGGGCCTGTAGAGTGGATACTGCTTAGGGAAAGCAGTCTGACTCCATTTCCCTATGAAGATTATCCGGTACTTAGCAAGTTCCTCTGCTGTGCAAATAGAGTCATCCCCCACAGGCAAGCTGCTGGCATAACCTAGTATAGTTACAAGTACTGTCCAGATAACTTTACAGGAGCAGTAGACAAACATCAGGTTTTCCATTCCCTTCCACACAAAAAGAAAAAAAAAATCTGTTAGCCATATTAGTCACTCTAAACTCAAAATTAATAACAGTTACCTAATAAAATCTAATGTAGCATCAGTTATAACCTAAAAGAAAGCAGTTATCTGAAACAATAAAAATTTTTATGCTTCTAAAAGCATTACTATAATGCTTTCAGATTTGTAATTTCCATGCTATATAGAACAAATCTGTAACTTTACCTGGGACAAGTGTTTCTAATGAAAATAGAAATATCTTATCCTTGTCCATAGTACTACCTCTGAGAAAAATCTGTTTCTGATTTTCTTTTGAAATCTGATTAGAGTCACATCTTGATTTAATTAGAGTAGCAACTGTTTCTGTGGAAAACATTAGTGGTGTATTTATTCTTCTAAAGATTAAATTGCAGGTTACTTTGCCAAAAGAAATGATTTATTTTAAATTTGTGTTCTACAAAGGCTGTTTTATAGCATAACATTTAAAATCAAATATATTTCATATTTATATAAATTACTTAGCTGTCATAATGTGGATTAAAAATAGATTGTAATTCTTTTAGATTGTCTAAACTACACAGTTCTAAAAAACAATATTTTTTAAAAGTTACTGTCATAGCTTGTGCAAATTTTGTTTTTAAATTAACATGGTAATTGCATCAGACTGTTGAACTCCAGCAATTGTTTAAAATAACAGCCTTTAAAAATGATTTTTAAATGTTTCTATCCTTTGAGAAAACTATACAAACATAACTAAATCTCTAATAATATATTAATTTGTAAAAATAGCTGTGAATACTCACTAAATATTCCTCTGGAGCACTGGTGGTGGGAGAGCACCTGCTTTTGCTGGCAGCTGAGTTGGTCTGCAAGAGAAGACAGTAGGAGTCTTGCTATTTATGCCTGAAGAGGGTCCCTTTGGTCCAACAATTATTGCAATCTTTAGACTTTCCAGGTTTGCAAAAATCATGCCATCTTCTTGTTTGCAATCTCTTTGGAAGGACTAGCAGAGGTTTCCTGTCTGTCAACTGGTTCAGGTTCCTTATCAGAAGACTGGGGTGCCGAAAAGACAAAATGCTTTTAAAAAGTACCTTGGATTCATAGTAACAGTTAGACTTTTCTGGTGCCTTTACAGTTCTCTGCTCTTATTAATGCCTCCAAGCTATACAAATGAACTGATTCCAACACTGAAATAGTTCTGGTGAATACACTTTAAATGAGAAACATGTTTTCTTGTAAGTTTTATTGTCTGACAGATGCTCCTTCCAAACATTTACAGAGAGCTTGCTCACTCTCACACACCATATGTATGTGTTCAAATAAAAGGGGTGAGGCAGCTAAAAATGTCAAGAGGAAAAAAAAGTTACATTTCATAATTGCACATACTGACACAGACTGTGTCTCCTGCAAATATGAATTAATTTAAAGTAGTACAGTGTACATTTTTGTGTTGTACAGGACTGTGTGCTGGATGATGAAAGGGCTCTGTAACGTTGTGGTTTCTTTGGAAAGAGTGGTTTTGGGAAGCTTGAAGATTTTTCTTAGCTGTCTTCAGAGTGAAAACCCCAAATAAAAATCTTATTATTACAGTCAAATTATACATCCTCTGTAGCACAGTAGATATACTTACATCACTAAAACTATTTAAATTGTCTATGAAAAAATATGCATTATATAGTGACCCAATTAAAAATACTGTTTGATCTTTATTTTAAGTTGTTTTCCCCATCACCTTTCAAATAAGGGAAAAGAAGGGCTTTGTGCCATCTCTATAAGGTCCTTGGCTGATCAGCAAAGGCAGTTAAGTTCAAAATTTTACAGTGAACCATGAAGATAATATTGCATAGAGTTTGCTTTAGAAATTGTGAGGAATGTCACTTAAGTATTTCCACAGATCTCTAACATGATGGTACAGCATATGGGAAAAAAGCAAATAAGGTTTCATTTTTCAGATGAAACCTCCAGGCCATGACAGGTTAAGCACACAGCATATAGATGAAGTGACACACATTTGTCCACCAGGAGGGAGTTACCAAACATGTTAGAGCTTTGTGGCACTTTAACTGGAAACTTCCCTTCTGCCCCTCACCCGTGGTAAATCCAAGCCAGGAGGTGAACAAACTGGGATGCCTGAATGGAATTTCCATTGATTATTCTGCTGACAAAATGGAATCTCTTGCAAGTTTCAACATAGATGGAGACAGCACCTGTAGCCACAATTCCTCTGTATCTGGATATCTTATGGGAATCCTGTAGGATTCCCTACAGGAATTAAGCCATCTAGGAAGGGACATGCCCTTATTTCCAAGGTCTCTTCCTCCATCCTATGTTAATGCTATGTTTTCCATAATTGATTTCTGTTCCAGGAGCCAGACTCCACTAAGAAAAAGAGCAAAGAGCCTTCATGCATACTTTTATACAAGTTATTTGAGTGTTTTTTGAAGGATGATATTTGAATCACGTCCATCTCACTCCCTCCTATGCACAGAATTCCAGATCCACAGGTTTCTTAGAGATTTTAATTTAATAACATCAGAAGGGGGTGATCTTTCCAGCCCATGCAGTCTCTAGGAGAATTATACGAAGGTTTAAAAGTACATTGCTCAGAGCACTATTAGAAATACTTAAGGCTTACATATACATTACTAAGCAGCTGTAAACTTCAGTAGGCTTTGTTGTTTATCATCACAATTACTGAGCCAGTGAATTTCTCATGCTGAAACATACTGTGGCACTGCCAGGATGGGAACAAAGCAACTGGCTCTGGATCTGGCACAGAATTATGTAATATATCAGACTGGCCTTTTCCTTTCCAAGATAAATTTCTGGCAAAAGACACATCACCAAACTAGATTATTCTGGTTCCATGGCTATGTGTTATGAATGTACCCAGGAACAGGACAATATATGCAGGCTGCATGATTTGGCACTGGACTTTTCCTTGTTTACAGTGAGGGCTTTACTATGACAGATTTCTCAGGATTAAATTCTTCAGGACCTAGAGCCCCACTCTTATCTTTGTGGGATTTCTAATGAAATTGTTGGACAAAATAGTGTAAATTTATTTAGTTATCCTCTCTCCTTACCTCCCATGGGTGAGGGAGAGAGGAAAGAAGAGAAAAAAAAAGACAACATGCAGAGTAATGTTGTCAGAAAATACTAATTTGAGGATTCACAATCTTGTTTCTTTAAATAGAAACTGCGCTAAGTGTAATCAGTCTCTGACATTGTGAAGGACATCAAAATACCAAATGTATCTCATAGATGGGAAGGAAAAATAAAAAAAAAACAGAAAAAAAAATTTCCACTTAATGGATTACTTTCATGACTGAGAACCACAGATGCCAAATTTCTGCGGGCCAGCAGTTAGAGAAAAAAATTGCTGAGGGATCAGAACCTATGCTTGCATTCCTTCTTCAGTTTGTATGTCCCATTAGGAAGCTGCTAAAAACTCATGGAAAACTGGAAAAAACCCCTTTCCATTCAGAACATATTTTTTCTTTCTCTTTTACAGGAAAATAGCTTTTGTTTTTCAAGTTTGTGTCTCTTCAGGTATAGGTATTTTCTATCCACATATGTACCTCTACAGACCCCGGATGCTGCAGGGATTAGGCATATAAAGCTTGTTTTACTTAAGCAACTGTGCCAAAATGTACCTTGGGTTTAGTTTTGCTTGCAGAAGTGTGCAACTTCTGCTGTTTCTTGTCAATAAGACAACAGTTTTACAGTTCCTGCAGTCTTTACCAAGATTCAGAGGATGAAAGCTGGAAAGCATAAAACAAAAAGGATGTCCAGATATTTTTGGGTTTTAAATAACAGTCATAACCTTGTCTACAATATTCTGTATTTTTCTAACAAAAATAATTAAAGAAATGAGAAAACTAGAGAAAAAAATCTACTTAAAAATACAGCAGTATCATCAATATCATGTTGGCTCTGGTATCATTTGCACTGTACAAAAACACTTACATGAACATGTTTAGGCTATCACACAGGAATATATCACATTAAAAGGTGTAAATTCCATTTTGATTAGTCAGAGAATAATTTAGCCCTTTTTCTGGTAAGCAACCAGATTGCCATGGTTACTTGTTACTTTTCTATTAAACTGTAGGACTAAGGCAAAGGAAATTTTACCAAAGTGATTGTTCTGAAGTTACTTTGCTCACCTTTACTCAAAATGGAAGCTCCAGAAATTTTGTATTTATATTCCTGAGGTATTACCACACATTTCAATTTTGCTAAAACAATTTCCATTTTTCTGAAAAGGAGTATATGAGCAACTTTGATATTCACAGGCTGTTTAATATGCTTATGACTACCTAGAATCTCTTCGTCTACCAAGAAAAACACAACATTGTATTACTTAAGAAGGATTATACAGCCATACTTTCTCTCCTGTAGTTACCATGGCAATGTCAAAGGTTTACATTCAGTCAAAACCCTCTGAGCACTAAGTTGTAAAATCTCAGCACCAGAGTGGCAAACAGCAGAATATTTTATGATGGAGAAATTGCAGTGCTGGTTTGGAAGTGTTTATAAAATAATGAATTTTACAGAGGAGAATAAAGTATTCCTGATATTGGATTGTACAACAGTAGTGAGGGCAGCTTTAATTTTAATTACCCTTTTGGAATAAAAATTTAGTTTGCAGATTGAGGCACCTAAAGTAAGTACAAACATGCAAACTAGATATGTAAACTGCCACTATAGATAATGGAAATTGGATCATTTTAGTCTATAGAATCTAGAGAACTGTTCAGCTTACCCTTTAATCCATACCAATACTTGACCAAATTAATAGCTCCTCTGGTCTCCAGTAACTGTATTGATAAGGTCTCCATTGATCCTAGCTCTCATGAAAGCATCTGCACCTAAGTAACAGATTCAGGCATCTCTATCTTTATTCAGGGCTCGCTGAGAGTTCAAGCCAAGATAAGGAAAAGGACAAGGAAAAACACCAGTCTTCTTGACCACAGTGACACTGATCAGCAACAAAAAGCCCTTCGGTCATCCTCTGCATTCTTCTGGCAGTTGTATTTGAGTAACTTCTTGTACTAAAAAACCTAGGCCAGCCCTAGCTAACCAAGTCAAGGTTCTCTATGACAAGGACCAGAGATTATGCTTCTCTTTCAGCTTCTTCCCCTACCCACAGCTTGGGTTCACCCAACCTGTGCAAAAATAGCAAACATATCATCTTTTCTGCTTTCAAAAACATTTTTCAGGAAGATCCTGGAATATAACCCATTTCTGCATCATAACTTCTTATTTTCTCCTCCTTTACACCAGTAAAAGTTGTCCACACAGTGAGACAAACTGTAGAACTGACCCAGTTAATAGAAAATCTCTCTAACAGCTTTCAGCCAAATTAGTTCCTTCACTTGACTCACTGTTAGACACAAGGAAGAGACTAGAACAAGTAGCTCCCAACAGAAAAGATGATGGGAGCTCTCATGATACGGGTTTCAATTGACATGAAAGTGTTTCTTTCACACGTGAAAATGTGATTTATACATTAGTTAGTGAGAATAGGCATTGCATCTGTCAGTGAGACTAGGGATCTGTCAGTGCATCCATAACCTGAGAGTTCTTTGGCTACTGCAGGTTGCTGAGCTCTCTAGTACCCAATGTGTTTGACATTTCTGGATAGTCACCTTCACCAACACTTTTGGTTTCCTAATCTATCATTTATCATACGAACACAGATGTTGTCTTCCACTGTATCAGTATCCTTCAGAAATCAACTACAGAGCCATTTTCTCCTGTTTCACAACAGTCCTCCAGGCATAATATATAAAGTTTGGCTCTCACAAGTGCATCCTGATGCCCTAACCATCAAGGTTATCTATCCAATTCATCTGTAGCAGAAACCATGAAATCTTGTAAGCTCCTTTATGTGTAAGTAAGAGTTATCTTGGCAGCAATGAACTCATCTGGAAACAAGTAATTTAAATCCTATCTGCCAGCTCGGCAGCTAAATCACAAATTGGGAGCCTCATGCCTATACTATGGCTAATGCTTAAAATAGGTATGAAGCAAACTCACAAGGATTACACACTCAGGCAGCTCCTTTATCCTGGACTTCATCATCCTTCACTGCATA